AACTCAAGGTTGCTGAGAGAAATATTCTTTTCATAAATAATTAATTATACATATATTTGAAAATTGAGCAAGTACAATATTTATGTCAATTTTTGTTTCTTTAATTTAATATATACCTTATCATACATAATGCGACAAATTGAAATGAATTGAAGAATATAATAATATAATTCGTTTTATTTATGAGAATGATCTATTGTATTGGCAATAATATCACGTTTCAATATTTGCCAATGTAGGTTCCACGACGAAGAACATGCGAATCTTCTTAATGCCATGTGGTTGATCGCCATCACGTTTCTCAGCGTTGGTTTCGGTGACATCGTACCGAACACGTATTGCGGTCGAGGTATAGCGGTTTCCACCGGAATGATGGTAAGATTTTATCTTTAATTCGATTGACCATATTTTTTTGTATTTTTTTATTTTTATTTTAATCTCATTCAAACGATTCCTAATCATAACGCAATCATCTAATTTGAAATTTTTTTTTCCGACAGAACGTGATAATTTAATTTGATATTTTTCTAATAAATTATTCCGCAGGTTTTTTTTTTTTTTTTTTTTAATAAAAATTAAAATGCAAGCTATGCATATGCATTTATGAAAGTAAAATCGATGGTAAAGCGTTGCAAAACTTAATTAAAGTCGATGTTTAGTCTTTGAAGCTATGCATAATATTATTATAATCTTGTCTTTGAAAATAATTGTTTAGTTATAATGAAATAATTGTTAAAATAAAGTCATTTATTCTAATTTGAATTTTAAGTTAATAATACTTGTAGAAAAAGATTTTTGTAATTCACAGTGTGATACTTATTAATATTGAAATATCATATTAATTTCATTATTAATATTATTAATACTATTATTCTATTGTAAAATAATAGAATACTCTTTGTAGTTTATGTGAAGATTAATTTTTATTTTCTATAGTATTAATAAATATTCAATAATATTATTACATTTAATTAAAAAGAATAATAATTTATAGAATATAATTTATACTAATTAATACTATCATTCTATTGTAAAATAATAGAATACTCTTTGTAGTTTATATGAAGATTAATTTTTATTTTTATTTTTTATCGCATAATAAATTTTTAATAATATTTATTATAATAATTTTTATAGCATAAATATATTATATTATTTATATTATTATTAATAGCATTAGAATATAATAACAAATATAATTATAGATTCGTTTGAAATCGAGTTGAATTAAATTCTTTTCATTTTCTTTTTCAATTTCGTGATATTTTTAAACGAAATAACATGAAACAGAAATTCATATACGTTTGAACATATATACTCTTTGAAAAAAAAAAATAAAATAAAAAAAAAATAAAACAAATAATGATATCGTGAAATAGAGGAAGAGATACACCACTTCCCTGTATAATCGTCAAAATAAATAAACAGCTTGGTGAGGACATGATTGATTGATACAAGCCGGAGGCCAGATACGAATTTTCGTTTCCAAGTCGTTTACCATGATCCATTTGATCTCTTTAGAAGGATATCTAATAGGCTTCAATGACGACATCGTGAATTCCGTTTTACCGTTCATTAATCTTCATCGTGATGCATTATCGATACCCTAGGAAAATGAAAAATAGATATAGATTAACTATATGTATATCTGAACTGGTGCATGTGGCACTAATTAATTCAATTCAAGATTAACGATTTCAATTGCAATATTTCATTGATTAACTGAACTCTAACTTATTACGTTATTACTGTTTCAAAGTAAATTCAAATGATAAATGTGAAATGAATTAATAAATCTAACCCTCAAGTAGTTCTCTTCTATTATTTATGACATATCTATAAAAGAAAAAAAAAGAAACAATTGTCATTTATACTGGGTGTAATTGAATCAGATTATAACTTTGTTTCTTGTAGGGATAAAAAAAGAAATTGCAGATAAAAAAAATTCACACAAAATAAAAAATAATTCCTTAATATCGTTTCAGTAGTTTCGAAGTTCATTGGAAACCCCTGTGAATTTTTATATATTTTATTATATATAATTATAATATAATATCACTTATAATTATAATTATAATATATTATATTATATTTATTTATATTTATTATTATTATTATTATTATTATTATATATTTATAATTATAATATAATATAATTATGTGAAAATCCGTGAAATCCGCAATTACTTAGTTGCCAACCCAATATATAATATCTAATATATAATAATATATATAATATTTTATAAATAATATATAATATATATATATATGTATATCACAAATAATAAAAGGTGGTTTTAATTGTAAAATTACAATAACTTTGGATGTAGTTTATATCTCAAGCATAGGATTTTGCTGGCACGAGAACAGCAATCCTAGACGTTCTTAGATATATCGAAAAGAGGGTTTACGATAGTAACAGCAGTGGTAGAGTCAAGTAGAGTCGGGGAAAACGTTTTAAAGGTGCAACCAGCCGGGCCATAACAAACTGTACTCATGCCGAGTCTAATCTTCCTAGCTAAGAGAGAATATACCAGTTACTTATCGTTATTGTTCTACCATGTTCCAACTGCTAATTCAGTGGCACAAATTTTCAAGGCAACACCACGAAGAAGCATTAAACAATTTAGTCAGAAGCATTACGTTGCAAGAAGCTAATTTTCCGTTAAAGTTCAATTAGATGAATGCATACTATATATATATATATATATATGAGAGCGTGGAGATCAAAATGATTTAAAGTCATTAAAAGTGACTAGATCATTATAGATCACACGAATAATTCAAAATGAAAACTGAAGAAAGATACAAATCGTTTCATTTCAAATTGTAACTTACAGTTAAATCATTTTGATGGCTTACCTTCCACACCTTTGTCGACATTAATACAAATATAACGTTTTGATTTATTACAAGACTTGATAGAAAAGTATTGATCTTAAAAAGTTACATTTTTATGATTTAGAATCATTTATTCTCATATATAAATGGGATGCATTAATTCATGTGTCGATCAATTTACCGTTTCCACTTTTCTTCGTCTTATAGATCGAATCGTTTAAGAACTTAATCTAAAGATTTGCTTACGTATGCACTAAAGTAAAATCGAAAGAATAAAAGATAGAATAATGTAGTATTATCGATTAGATAATAATCATACGTCTTGCCTATACCTTCAATTTATAAACTCTCATATTTTTTACCATTGAATGGAATTGATACAAAATTTATCATTCGTTTCTTTTCTTGTTTTTTTGTTTTTCTATTTTATTTGTTAAGAAAAGAAAAAAATATTTTTAAAAAAGTAAATCTTTCTTACTTTGTTTTTCAGGGAGCAGGTTGTACGGCTTTGCTCGTCGCTGTTGTTTCCAGGAAACTGGAACTTACAAGGGCGGAGAAGCACGTTCACAACTTCATGATGGACACGCAGCTAACAAAAAGGGTAAGAGCTCGTTTACTTGTATTACCACCTTGAAATATGAAACAAATATTTCGTAGTCATGGGAGTAAAGAAAAGTATATACCATTAAGGATGAAATATAAAGAAGAAAAAAGTATGATAAGAGTGAGAAGAAAGATGCGATGAAAGGGTTGAAATACGAGCTTAACACTTGCTTCTTTTTTTTTTCTTTTTTCTTCTTTTTTTATTAAAAAATTCACTTCAATAAAAATATAAATATCCAATTCTCTTTGGTGATTCTCGTCGGTTCAAAAATGTTCAAGTAGATGCGAAAGATAACGACAAACGATTATTGGATATTCCATAATTAGTTTAATAACTTTATTGTTTGTTAAAACAACAGATAAATTAACTTTAAATCGGATTTGTTTAATTTTCGATCAAAATGTTATAAGTTTATCGATCGGTAGGTTCGAACGTACACTGGGGGTACGTTGAAAGTCGTTCGTTACGATAAGTTCGTAACGGCTGACTACGTTGGGCATTTTTCTCGACTGTACATCCGGATCGAAGTAAGAAAGCCTTTACCCAAAGACTACTGAAATAATCACTAGCCTCTGATATTTATAAACCTTGCAAATATCAAGGAGTGATTTAGATATAGTTGCCTACGTGCTTTGTTTTATCGACGAGAATTTCAAAGTCGTACGTATTCCACAACTTTTCGATCGGAAACATTCGTCTTAAGAAGGAAAAGAAAAAAGAGGAAGAAAATGTTTGAAACTTTTATCCAATTAAATGATGAAATATGTTCATTGAAATTTATTTACGATTTTCAGCTGAAAAATGCTGCAGCAAACGTATTAAGAGAAACGTGGTTGATCTATAAACACACACGCCTAGTGAAACGCGTCAATCCTGGTCGTGTTCGAACTCATCAACGAAAATTCCTATTGGCTATATACGCGTAAGTTGATATCTAAGTTAGTTCAAAGTCGATTGTTTGTAATCTTCAATAATAAGTGAACGTAAGTTAATTCGCGTTTTCACATACGTACTATTTAAAATGAAATTTGTTTGCAGACTGAGAAAAGTAAAAATGGATCAACGGAAGCTAATGGACAACGCTAATACGATAACGGACATGGCCAAGGTAGTAAAGGAAAAGAATAACGTCCATCGATCGTGGTAAAGAGCGAAAGTGGAATTGGCCGTGAGTGATTATAAGAATAAACACAAGGTATTAGATACATATACATATATATACATATATTTCGCCTTTTGCTACGATCGAGAAAGAGGACGTGATATGAATCTGATTTCATTGAATAGAAATAAATTGATTGGATTAACGAGAGGAATGGTTGAGGAGATGTGTTTTGCATTGTTATTTATTGTTTAAATCGAATAGACGCAGAACACGGTCTACGAGATAGTCTCGGATATGAGTACGCGACAGGACGGTCTAGAGGAACGGCTCGTGAGCGTGGAGGACCGTTTGGTAAACCTTGAGGAAAAACTGAGCACGTTGCAGAGCCAATTGGAGATGCTGCCGGAGGAGCTGACGCGGTGCCTAGCGCAACATGCCGAGCGTATGGAGCAGAGACGCAACTTCCTGCACCCGGACACGGCGGTGGCGATGGCGTCTTCCGGTGGTGCCGGTGGTGGCGTCTCCGCCGGTAACAGCCTCGGTTTGGGGATGTCCCATGGCGTTTTGGCTAGCGGCAACGCCTCCGGTCATCATCCTTTGGCAAATTTATCAAACTCGCCATCCCTTTTGCCGCACTCAAGAAGCGTGCCTAGTGGCCCGAGTGCACCCAGCGCGATGTCCCTTCATCCTTGGCCGGTGAGTCCGGTCCTACCATCTGTCGCTAGTCGTACGCCTCACCTCGTCCCGGAAACTGGTCGACATCACGGCCACTCGACTGTCGTTGCTACCATCTCGAGCAGCACGCATACGCCGGCAGCAGGGCTGACGGCTGCTACGACGACGACGATGACAACGACGACAACGATGACGTCGATGATGAGCACAACCTCGCAATCGACCACTAGGCTAACCTCACAAGCCGGCATGGGTGGACTCGGCAACAGCCAAGGCTCGGATACGTCCGCGCACAGCTGAGTTTCATCACTGCAGCCGCAGCATTCTTACTAAACGGGGATCCTTCGAGGCCTCCTCCCTCTCTATCTCTCTCTCACACATTCTCTCTCTCATACTTTCTACCAAACGACGATCACATCGCATTCTTTGAGAGAGAAAACCCCTAAAATTTCCAACCTCAACGAAACAATCCTGTTCCTCATCCTCCTACTCCTCATTCACGATGGGTCCAATCCTTTTACCGATTGACGTTGCCTATTCGCCTAAATAATGCAAAGGACGGAAATGTTATTATCGATTAATTGATTCGGATCGATCGATCGAACAACCAACCAACCAACCAACCAACCGACCTTGCGAGAGACGACGAGAGTGCGGTTATCGGTGGGGTGTACTGTGCTAACACAACGAGAAAGAGAAGGGAGGGAAGAAGGAAACTTGAGGCCAGTTTCTTCCAATCTTTGCTGCGTGCTGCTGTTGTTACCCTCTGCCCAACTTGCGTGCCTGAAAACTTTTTTTCTTATCGATTAAAAATATATATTCGACAACACGGATAAGCTCCAACTTATAATATCTCTCTCTAATATACCTCGAAGTCAGTCGAGTAAGCGCGGACGGGCACGATGATGCGTGTGTGTTATTATAATCTCCAATTGGGATGTGCTAAATATTGCGTTCAAGGAAAATAAATCGCTATCCTTTCGAGATAAACTCGTTTGATGTACTCTCCACAAAAATTCATACAATTTAACTCATTCGTAATACAATCATAGTTCATTTTTTTGTTCTTCTCTTTTGTATTCGTTTAATGAAATATTTTTTTTTCTTCTATAATTATTTGATAATATTAATAATTAAAATGTACTTTCGATAAGATCAAATTCAAATTGATGCGCAAACTATTAATAACAAAATATATATTATATATATATGACTGTAACCATAAAGAGCAACTAAAAAGAAAAAAAAAAAAGAAGATATAGCCGATCTTTTTTTAATCTTATTACCTACGATAAAAATTAGAGAGAACGATATTATTATATAACTATTCATATAATAAAGAAACATTTTAGAATTGAAATAATAAATGCACGAGTCAAGAGAAAGAAGATTATAAATACATAGTTTGCGTATCGTTTGTCAAAATACGAATGTGTAAAATTGACGTGACCGATGTTTGGAGTAGTTTGCGAAAAGATTGTTTAAAAAAAAAAAACAGAAACAAAGAAATATCTTTCAGCACCTTTCGTCGTTGCTCGTATCTTCGATGTTTAAAAACAAAATATAATGATACAAAAAAAAAATTATGATAAAAAATATACTTTTCGTATTCGATTCCAACATCAACGTGTAATACTTTTCGTATGAAAAGTTTTCCGTACGAAAACGACGAGAGTCATTTCAAGTTACTCGAAAGGATTCCTGGTAGATCGGAGACGAATCAAAATACTGTTGGAAGAAAAAAAAAAGATATTTCTACTTCTTCTAGTTCGATGCTCACTACGATAAATTTATTTCATACTGAAGAAAAAAAAAAACCAAATGTAAATTTTACTTTATGCGTTCGAGATTGGTTACGATGGTTACATATACATAAATGCATATACATATGTATATATATGTATATATATATTATGTATATGTATATGTTTGCCGATGAACTTTTTCTCTCTCTCTCTCTCTCTCTTTCTCTTTTTCTTTTTCTTTACCCTCACTCTTTCTCTCTCTCTCTCTCTCTCTTTCTATCTCTTTTTTTTTATTCTACAAGTATTTCGTTCGAACAAAGACGATAGGAAAATAAATATAAAAAAAATAAAATTAAAAAAAATGGAAAAATTCATTGATCGTGGTTGCAGTATTTTTACACGGCTCCGAAGTGCTCTGGAACATAAGGAAAAAATAAACGCAAAGTGATCTTATCCGCTTTAACGTCCGTAGGATTATGAAGCATATTTAATATTATTAGCGTATACATAAATATATACATAAATATACACATAAACACACATACATACATACACACATATATATAACAACATACATGTACATGGCGGACGGGTAAAAAAAAAAGATTTTTAGAAAAGGAATAAGATGATAATAAATAAAAAGAGGATCACGTTTCTAATCGAAAAAGAAGGACACTTTTTTTAAAAACTAATAAGAGATTAATAAAACTCGGCACGTATCTAATTTTAAATGAATTCATTTCAAAAGAGTATATAACATGCACGTGAGCATGCAAGTATACAAATATATATATAAACATTTGAAATGAATTATAAAAAAAAAAAAAAACAACTTAAACATTGAAATCGGCCAAAAGTTATATAATAATTAATAATAATAAAATATGTAGTAATTATCCTTCTCAAGGACTTTAAGTTTTGACGTACGTGTATCGATATAATGTGTTGTCTATATTGAGAGTAGGTGATTGGTAAGAGGAAAAAGGGGGAGAAAAAAAAAAGAGGGAGATGGAATAAAAAAGAAAAGAAAAAAAGAAAGAAAAGAAGGAGCGAGTAAAAGTGAGGTGAAGTGGGGTGGGGTGGGGTGGGGTGGGGTGGGGATAAGAAACAACATAGAAAAGAACAAAACTAAGGTAAGAAGAAAAAGGATGGGGGATGAGGATGAGGATGAGGATGAAGGGGATGGAAGTGGGGTTGGGGGGTTAGTTCGGAGAAAGGAAACGTGCCACAGGATAAAATGGGAAAGTGTAGGAAAAGAAACGCAAAAGAAAAGAAGTCAAGGGAAAAAGTAGTTGGCAATGGCGTACGTGAGCGTTCGTTGTTTTCTTGGAGAGAAATAAAAAAGGAAAAGAAAAAGGGAAAAAGAAACGGAAAGTAAAGTGAAGTAAGGTAAAGTAAAAGGGAGAAGGGGGGAAAAAAGCAACGAAACGAAATTAAAAGGGATGGAAAGGGAGGGTAGTAGGAGGGTAGGGTAGGGGGAAAAAAAGAAAGAAAGGAAAAAGAAAAAGCGTGGAAAGGAAACACACGAGTGATTTATACAGGAAAATAAAATCGGAGCTGTTCCGTAAAAGTTCGTTGCATCGATATACCGTTCACCGCCTAAAAAAATATATAAATAAATAAATAAATAATTAATTAAATGAATGAATGAACAATTGAGAGAAACGTGCAACCGTAGCCAAGGACTTTCTGTGAGCGCAGATTTTGGTGAAAATCGACAATGAAATGCGCAAATCTTTCAAACGAGGGTGAGACGATCGCGTCATTCGCGTGAGAAAAATCTAAAAAAAAAAAACAATAAAATAGGGTGAAAAGAAAGATAGAAATAAAATAAAATAAAATAAAATAAAATAACAAGGAAAAGAAAAAGATGCAAGATAAAATTCATAAAAAAATAAAAAATAGACAAGTTTTCACTTGAAAAATTAGCGAACGTAAAACGGGGTTGTCTCGCCCTCGCATATAACCTCGTCTTATTCGTTTATATTAGCGAGACGAAAGTTTGGGACCTGGTTTGTCATGTCCGACGACGAATTCATTTTCATTTTGCATTGAAAAGCGCAGTTTCGCGGCTGTTTCGAAACGCGAAACGGGACCAAAAAAAAGACGACACACGTTTGTCACGATTTTCTCATACTATTTATATATGTATATGTATATATACATACTAACTTCTTATTCTCTGTATCTTTATACTTTTCTAATCTGATTTTTTTCTATTTTTTTGTTTTTTTGTTTTTGTGCTTTTGATTTCGTTCATCTCGTTCTATTTCGATTAATACGAAAGTTGATATTTCGTTTTGAATAAAAATTGATTTTTTTTTTCTTTCTTTTTTCTTTCATTTTCAGTATCTGTTTCTTCTTTCTCTTACTCATGTCAATCTGATTCCATAATACATCCGTCTGTCTGTCATTCTGTCTGTCTCTCTCTTTCTCTCTTTCTTTCCGCGACTCAACGCGCTGGACACGACAACTCCACGATATTTTTATATAGATTTCTTAAAAGTGCATTATAGTGCCAGGAAGACCACACCGAGTTAAACTAAATAAATAAATAATTAAACGAATGAAAAAAAAAATAATAAATAAATAAAATAAAAAAGAAAGAAAGATAAAGAAAAAGTAACAATCTCAATATTGGAACATTAGACGATAGACACTGATTCTATAATAATAATAATAATAATAATAATAATATAATTATATTATAATGTATAAATACACGATGATAATAGAAATAATAATCAGAACACAGTTGTACGGTATGACGAATAATCGCTAATTTCCTTTCAATTTTGTTTCTTTTTCTTCATAGTGAAAGATTAAATTTTGTTTTAAAATATGAATCGTAACAAATGAGATAATTTTAAGAATAAATTCTTTTTGAAATAATTAAAATTCAATTTAATTGAATTAAATTAATAAAACCAAATTTATACTTTAGTTCTATATGTATTACTAAAATAATATATTAATAAGATAATTATATGCTTTGTATTATTATAATATTTATTATTATATTATAATAGTATTGTAATAAATATTATAATTATATTATTATAATAAATAATATAATTATAATATTATAATATTTAT